AAATCTAGAGATTGTGAGCTAAGCAAAGCGGCCCTTATGTCACTTCTTTCAAGTACGACACAAACATTGCACTGGGAGATTTAATCTGAATTGGCTGACTGGAAGGAGATGTAATGTCTCTAAGAAAATATGGCCGGTGATCTCCGAACGTAGATCAGGGTCACTCATTCCCTTGACGAAATCTGACCTAAAGCTTCTGGTGGGTCTAATTATAGGTCACTGCAATATAAGGGCTGTGACTTCCAAGTGGGGGCGACGACACTGTATACTGCAGGCTTTGTCAGGACGAGAAGGAAACCGAGACGGTGGAGCAACTACTCTGCCACTGTGCAACTATTTTTGGAGGCCAATATAGGCTAACGGGTAAGCAAATTCTGCCCGACTTGCCCTCTTTTTTCCAAAACCGAGTCAGCAGTTATGCTTCAATTAGCCAGTAGCTTAAAATGGTTAAAGACGACACGCTGATCGCATCCAAACTAGGATACACAATGGATCAGCAGATCTCCGAGTGAAGTGGTTGTTCATACAACTGCGCATCCTAAAACCTAACCTATACTAGACGAGTTTACTTGTGTTAATTTTTATATTACTCTTTGAACTTGCCTCTTGCATTTATGCAGGGCGATTATTTCAGCAACTTACTTTTTTATCATTGCCCTTTCTAATTTATAATCGAATTGCCAGCACGAGCCATTTTTTTCCATTCTCCTTACCCCACTCTCCTATAAACAAAGAATTGACGCAAAAAATTTGCCTAACATAAATTTGGATATAATGTAAACACCCCCAAAAGCGATATCATATAGGTGCCCCCACACGATGTAAGAAAATAAGTCTTCAAATAAACTCTCGTCCCTTGGAAAAAAATGACAAGCAAAAGTAAGATCCATCAACAAACGAGCTCTCCTAAATATTAAGTAAATCAAACTTTATGTGGTCTATAGAGAGGAAATTTCCAAGAGGCAAATATACAATCTTATACTGAGTCTCATTATATGGACGTATTAGCTCAATAGCTCAGAGGATGTCCTAGTCGTTACTCAGAATCCTGCGATTGGGTCTCCAGAAAAGCGAAACAAATATAAACCCTCTTGGGAAGAGTCAAAACTCTTGCTTTATTAAGTTTTATAATGTATATGTGTATGTACTAAGTATGCATAAAAGGAAAAAGTATTTGTGTGATAATGATAAAGCAAAAAACATGAAAGGACGTACTAAATTACGAATCTAATGGAAATAGCGATCAATTGACATCGACAATAAATGCGAAAACTACATGTTGCTATTGTTAATGTGATAAGTCAGGAAGATGTCATTGTTGTTACAGGGTATATTAAGTATGCCATTCCGTTTGTAACACCTTGAAACATACATGACGACTTAGCGATGTCCGTCCATGTATCCGCCTGTCCATCTGTGGAAATCACTCTAGCTTCCGCACGAAATGATGTAGGTTCAAAAATTATAATTTTTATTTATTTTGGAGATTTAAGCTTCATTATTCACCAGAAATGTTTCATATTTGATGTTTGAAGTTCGTAATGGATACTACAGCCTATGACAGAAAATTGTCCGTGCAGGTCCACACCTTCGTATATCCCCTATGTACCGGCACCGCACGATATTCTGTATTTTGATTGTCTTAGCGACATTATTCACCGGAATTTATTTAAATTTCGTAATGGATATTACAGCCTCTGACAAAAAAAATTGTGCAGGTCCACGTCTTCGTACAGCCCCCATATAACGGTACCTATCGATACTTTGATGATTTTAGCGACATTATTCACCGGAATTGCATCAAATTTGGCATTTGAAGGTCGTAATGGATACTACAGTCTATGACAGAAAATTGTATGTGCAGGTCCACGTCTTCGTATAGCCCATATAACGGTACCTTTCGATATTCGATATTTTTATGATTTTAGCGACATTATTCACCGAAATTGTTTCAAATTTGGTGTGTGAAGTTCGTAATGGATACTACAGCCTATGACAGAAAATTGTCTATCCCATATAACGGTACCTCCCGGTATTCGGTATTTTGATGATTTTTGCGACATTATTCACCGGAATTGTTTCAAATTTGGTGTGTGAAGTTCGTAATGGATACTACAGCCTATGACAGAAAATTGTCTGTGCCGGTCCACGTTTTGGTATGGCCGTCATATAATGGTACCTCCCTATATTCGGTATTTTGATGATTTTAGCTAAATTTTTTACAGATTTGTTTTGTTTTCAAGTTTCGAATTTGAATATTATTTTATATGTTAACTCGATATTGACATCACTTTTATTTTATCTGCCAGATTGCCCTTTTTTAACTAACATTCTCAATTCCATATTCTTTTGTTATTAGTTCATAGTTTACTCTTTACATCACAATCTTTCTTAATGAAATAAACTGAATTACATTAAAACTGAGTATACAATATTGGTGTCAAAAGTGGACAGGCACGATGAACCAGGAGCAGTTCAATGCAGTTTTTTCTTCCTTGGCAAATGCAATTCGTACGGCTGCGACGGAGGCTGTTCAAAAATCGCGGCCACGATGAAATATGAAGAAATCAAAACAACATTGATAAATCATTTCGACGAGAGGAGAATCATTTATGCGGAAAGTTTCAGATTTCGACAGATACACCAAGATGTAGGGGAATAGTTGGCAAATTTTTTTACTGGATAAGATGCTGATTGAGCAGATGATATTTGGAGTGAAATCCCGCAATATTTGTGACGGGATTATTGCTAAGCAACCAGAAAGTTTTGCGGAGGCATATGAGTGTGCCACGGCAAAGCAGTTAACTCAATTATCAACGGGTGTAGTAAATACAGGTGAGAATATTACTACAAAACCAACATGCAAGTTGGGATTTACACCTGTCAAGATGAAAAATGGTGTGTAGCAGAAGTCGGCAGTGATCGACACGTACGGCAAGGTAGGCCACATAAGTAAAGTGTGCAAGTCAAATATAAAGCAGATAGAGTAGTCGTTGTTGTCAGATGAGGGCGAGGAGGCACATACGTCTCAGATTGCAACAGTCAGAACAAAAGGGCCATTCGATCGGAAAATGGTCACAATGAAGATAGACGGCCAGAAGGTGGATATGGAACTAGAAACTGGTTGCTCCTTACAGTATTATTAGCTTGGATAATTTAAAGGACATAAAGCAGTCACCAGTGTTAAAGAAAGCGGACCGGCGATTTTCAAGTTTTACGGGACACAAGATTACGTGCATAGAAGTACCGTGCCTAATGTGTCTTTGGGCAGAACCAGTCGTAGGCTGAACTTATACGCAGTTAATGGCCAGACACATAATGTGGCCGTGAGCGGATCGCACATTTTGCTCGAGAAGTAAATTTTGCCAAATTGTTCCAAGACCCAATAGAAGCATCAACGGGGACGGAGTTATCAGCAGCGACAGGAGAGAAGAAAGCATCTATAGCAGTAAAAAACACGTACTTTCTGAACATCAACGGCAACGACTACAGCTGCTATTAGCCAAACATAAAGATATATTCAGTGATATAGCGGGTAAGTTCAAAGGTCCTCCTATTAAAGTGCAATTGATGCAAGATGCTACGCGAAAATTTTCCGGCCGATTTCGGAAGCATAGTTGGTTGCTACCGGACGCGTCCACAGATTGCGGATAGTGGAACGCCCAATAGATATATTGGGCAGCTGCGAATAAATAATCAGTCGCGGACAACTCAGCGGTACCGGGGGGAGAGTCTCGGAACAAATATCCGAGTGCCCATGATTATTCCTTCTGGCTTTGGAGATGACTCACCACTTTCGGATGAGGAACTTGACATCACGGTCATTTCCTCGTCTCAAAGTGGTAAGTCATTTCAAAAAGCCACCAAGAACACTTCCAGCGAGACTTGCGCTGTAATGTCTGGTCTACAAGTTTTTTTTTATTTTTTATATTTGTTTCTTCGGTTTGCCGTTATTTGATTTATTTATTATTCAGTTTTTACTATGATCTACACTTTTTCATATCATCCATCTTGGAAAGGAGGATATTCAGGATCAGCATAAAATTCTAAGTCGATTTAACGATGTCCTTCTCAATGAAATCACGATACAGCTCACATTATTTGATTTGATCTGCCCTCTGATGCAGAATCACATACGCCATCGTCAGAATTACATTTAATGCATGTATTTGATAAATCCACATGTCCGAACAATTTTACAGAAATTCTCGAAAATGTCGATATCCCGAAAATGTTGATTGTCCGTAAAAAATAGAACTAATGAGTTTATAGCAGAATGAATGATGCAGAATCTCATAGGCCATCGAACGACACTTAATGCATTTATTTGATAATTCCACGCGTCTGAACAATTTTACAAAAATTCTTGAAAATGTCGATATCCCTAAAAATTTGACTATCCATAAGAAAATGAAACCAATAAGTTTATAGCAGAATGAATGATGCAGAATCGCTTACACGATCGCCAGAACGACATTTTATGCATTTATTTTAAAACTTTATATTCGGACCAATTTTTCAGGAATCCTTGAAAATGTCGACATCCACACGTCTGAACAATTTTACAGAAATTCTTGAAATGAAAATATCGATTTAAGAAAATAGATCACAATAGAACCAATAAGTTTATAGCAGAAAGAATGATGCAGAATCGCCTACACCATCGTCAGAACAATATTTAATGCATTTATTTGATCACTCCACATGTCTGAGCAATTTTACAGAAATTCTTGATAGTGACGATATCCCAAAAATATTACATATTATCTGATGAGTTATATATATATATATATATTATATATATATATATATATATATATATATATATATATATATATATATATATATATATATATATATATATATATATATATATATATATATATATATATATATATATATATATATATATATATATATATATACATTATAACATTTCCACAAATCTCGATTCTCGATTCGATTATAGTATATAAGCATAAGTATTGCTTACTACTCACTTTTGGACTTCTGATTCATCTCTCCTATTCACCATGAATGGAACGGCGCTTCTTAACAAGGGTAAGAAGTGATCCCCGCAAATACATTAATTTATTTTTCCTTTATTCTTTGATTAATAAAACAAGTATGCAAACAATTTGTTTTAAAGAATTAAACTGAACAGTAAAATTATACATTAATTACATTTGCTTTTTGCCTCCTTTTTTAAAGTTTTAAGTATATTTGCACATTCCACTTGTAGAGCTAAAATTAGAATTTCAAAATTTTTATAATACCACGAAAAGTTGTATAAAACATGTAACTTTCTGTTTTTGTCCAAAAAAGATTTATAGAATTCACTCATCTTATCTGCTGAAATATCTTGAATTCCGGCAAGGTTGTGTGCTTGAATGAAATCTTGTTTTTCCTAAAATAAAAAAGAAAAATAGGTATTTGAATGCAAATATTTAACACAATATATCTAATTTACCAAAAACGATTACTTGTTAGTGCAGAAAAAAATACAATATTTAAAAAAGCAGAAAATAATATGGTTTATAAAATAGCTAATCGAAATAACATTCATAAGACATATACTCAACATACTCAAAAATACTGTAAAAATGTATAAAAAGGTTTAGTAAAATCCAGCAAGACAAAATCTTTTTCATAAAATGTATTGTTCGATTCTCGATAATTTATAAAAATTGTTACTGCTTCTTGTTTACCCAAAAATCCAGTAAGTGAGAGCGAAAGCACTTGAAAGTACTAAATTGCAAACTGAGCTGATGAAGAAAGAGGAAAATAATACATGTAAAAGCAATTTGTGAACCATTATTTTCATAAGCTTCATAAGTTTTTATGTTAGTTGGTGGTTACTTTTAGTAATTTTTCGTCTTGAGACAGAAAAAATCGAATTATGTTGCAAACTATGATGCTACATAGTACATGTTACTGGAAAAGTAAACGAAAGGAGCAAATGTTGAATGAATATTACAGGGGGCACAAAAATTCGCTGGCGAACGATTAAAATACGATCTTCTCATTTAAGCTTATTTTGCGATTGTATTTTAACGCGATAAATTCTTTACCAGACGAACGTTTATCAAACGAATGTTCGCACACACATTACAAACGAGCGCGAGCACACAACAGCGAACGTTCATTAAGTTGGCGATTGAAATCATTTTGACAATCGATCTCAAATGACAATAAATGCGATCGCTCATTTTGCCGGTTGTGCGTTAGCGAAGTTAATAATTGTGTTTACTCTATAGTGATACATGTAACTACTGGAAAAAACTGTCATCTAAAGAAAGAGTTCGATCAGATGTTCGTAAAGAGCATTAAGTGCAATAATGTACCTTAAATGCAATGTCTGGTCTACAAGTTTTTTTAATTTTTTTATATTTGTTTCTTCGGTTTGCCGTTATTTGATTTATTTATTATTCAGTTTTTACTATGATCTACACTTTTTATATGGTTCATCTTGGAAAGGAGGATATTCATGATCCGCATAAAATTCTAAGTCGATTTAACGATGTCCTTCTCATTGAAATCACGATACAGCTCACATTATTTGATTTAGCCACATATTTCCACCAATTTGTCTAAAAATTGGTATTGTAGCTCGTTATAGCTATAGCCCCCATATGAAGGTACATCCCGACATTCGGTATTTTAATGGTTTTAGCCACACTTTCCATTGGATTTGTCTAAAAAGTGATATATGTAGGTTGTTGTGTGGGTTGTAGCTCCGATGGAGGAGCATTGTACATATAGCAGCACGTTTTCGTATAGCCCCGTATAACGGTACCCCCCAATATTCGTCATTTTGATGGTTTTAACCGCATTTTTCTACGCGTTTGTCTAAAAATTATGTTATTAAAGGCTCGCTATAGATTACAATCGTTGTATAAAATTGTCTATATAGGCTCCCGTCTTAGCATGGCCCCCATATAACAGCTCCAACCATTCTCCTACCGATTTTACTGGAGTTTGTAGTTTAAAGTGGTACTCGTTTGAATCCAGGTACTTTTGCATAAAAGTGTTTTCTTTACACAATGGTGTATATTTTTCATAAAATGTAAATAGGCATGTGAAGTGTTCAGTGTTTATTTTTTCTTACTGCCCGGTGTGTTTCATTGGACTTGGGCGTTTGGAAAAGAAATGGTTATTGCATGTTAGCAGGGACCATAATTATGTCCCATCTAAAAAGCAATAGGATACAGGATGAATAAGCAGTAAAAACAGCAACATTGTAAACACCATCATAAAACGTTCTACCTGTTCACAAAAAAATGTAAATGTGTGCTCACCAGAGAGCTGCAATTAGTACGATTGAGCAGGCTTGACCACAGTTAGTGGAAATACAATCAAACTCAAACATTCGGTCAGATGTAACGTGCTTATTCGAGTTGCTCATGCGAAACAAAAAAGTTGTAGGAGAACATTAATTGATCGAAGCTTTGTGTTCGAAACGCGATTGAAAGAAAAAAATCACAGTTGTGATTGCTCACTTCAATTCATGTGTTCGATCAATTCATGTAGCTGAACTCATCATACGCTCTCGAACACTCATGTTTGATTGTAAGCGAAGTGATTCAAACTGAGCGTTCAATTCGATCCGATGCGATGCGAAAAAGATTATTTCATTCAGATTAAATCAAACGACTGAATCAACAAAAATCATGTAAGAAACCGAGTATGATTGCATTTTTTCATACTCGTTGCAGCCCTCTGATGCAGAATCACATACTCCATCGTCAGAATTGTATTTAATGCATTTATTTGATAAATCCACATATCTGAACATTTTTACAGAAATTCTCAAAAATGTCGATATCCCAAAAATTTTGATTGTCCATAAAAAATAGAACTAATGAGTTTATAGCAGAATGAACGATGCAGAATCGCATAGGCCATCGTTGAAAATGTCGATATCCTTAAAAATTTGACTGTCCATAAGAAAATAGAACTAATAAGTTTATAGCAGAATGAATGATGCAGAATCGCATACACCATCGTCAGAACAATATTTAATGCATTTATTTGATCACTCCACACGTCTGAGCAATTTTACGGAAATTCTTGATAATGTCGATATCCCAAAAATATTACATATTAGAAATAGAACTAATGAGTTTATAGGAGAATGAATGATGCAGAATCTCATAGGCCATCGAACGACACTTAAAACACTTTGCGTTTTTAATTGATAATTCCGCGTGTCTGAACAATTTTACAAATATTCTTGAAAATTTCGATATCCTTAAAAATTTGACTATCCATAAGAAAATGAAACCAATAAGTTTATAGCAGAATGAATGATGCAGAATCGCATACACCATCGTCAGAACGACATTTAATGCATTTATTTTAAAATTTTACATTCGGACCAATTTTTCAGAAATCCTTCAAAATGTCGACATCCTCACGTCTGAACAATTTTCAGAAATTCTTGAAAATATAGATGTAAGAAAATATATCATAATAGAACCATTAAGTTTATAGCAGAAAGAATGATGCAAAATTGTCTACACCATCGTCAGAACAATATTAAATGTCTGAGCAATATTAAAGAAATTCTTGAAAATGTCGATATACCAAAAATATTGATTGTCCATAAAAATCAGAACCAATAAGCCTATAGCAGAATGAATGATGCAGAATTGCATACGCCAACATCAGAATGACATTTAAAGCATTTATTTGATAATTTCACATATAGAGAATAGAACCAATAAATTTATAGCAGAATGAATGATGAATAATCGCATACGCCATCGTCAGAAAGACATTTAATGTATTTATCTGATAATTTCACATATCTGACCAATTTTACAGAAACTCTTAAAAATTTCGATATCATAAAAATGTTGAGTGTCCATAAAAAATAGAACCAATAAGTTTACAGAAGAATGAATTGTGCAGAATCGCACAATTTTACAGAAATTCTTCAAAATGTCGACCATGTCGAACCAAATCCCCCAACAAACACCAATGACACTATTGCTTCTGAGGAAGCAACGACCAAGGACCGGCTACAGGACTAGATTTTTAACTCGGGAGGAGACGACTCAATACTTAATTACAGTGACGTCATGCATGACAGTATTCACAAACACAGTGAAGAATTGTCCGCTCTCCTGGAAAAGACAAAAACGCTGAGGCTCAGTCAGGAAAGTGTTCCTTCTGGCTTTGGAAATGACTCACCACTTTCGGATGAGGAAGCCACTAAGAACACTCCCAACGGCACTTGTGCAAAGACACAACTCCAGGAGGGATCATCGTCAGTCACCTCTGATGTTACAAGCCTCGATAGGCAAAGCGCCATCAACGTAGGTGCTGTCAGTACCCCGCGCAGAGAACGGAGAGAGATAGGATTCTGATTAAGATGAACCTCAAAGTAATTGCAAAGTTCGAAAAGAATCACCCGCATTTACCAAGCTGTTCTCTTAATCAGGTTCTTCTAGCTCTCTTACCATCTGCTATCAACAACTCCGGTAGATGTTCACGCGGAGGTGGTTAGTGCTGACACTGCTGAGTCAAACCCACCTGCCAAGAAGCGCAGAAACAGGAAGGTCAAGAAACCAGAGCTCGTGATAGCCGCAGCCTTGGCAGCTCCAAAGGAAGCTGACAACTCTTCACGCTCAGCGTTGAAGAGAGGTCGGTCTACGGAGGAAACACGCCCTGAGGCCATGAAGGCATCTACGGCCCCGGCTTCTCAGCCTACACCTACAACTTCCACTCCGTCCGTCAGCAAGTCGGCCGTGACCAAACCGCCCCTATCAGCCCCTTCAAGCTATAAGGTCCACAAGGCGGAGGTCAAGTCACAACCGGCAAGCCAAACAGGGCGGAAAAGGAAGTGTTCTCAAACCATATACCCGGTCAATTTTCGAGTAGCAATCATCGACAAGGCAGAACCGGAAGGTAAAATCAGCTGCAGCCGATGGCTGCTATTCGAAGATCGACTGAGGGAGCTTGTCTTTAGTGGAGAGGGTGACCTTAAAGGACATCCCCTCCCGTAAGGTATTGACAGCTTGGGTGCCACCACCATCTGTGGATCACGCATCCTGACAATACTGGGCGAGCAAAACCCTAACCTCAGAACAGACAACTGGCGTCTTGTTAGTTCAAGCACTGAAGGAGGGTGCCTGGTCATCAAAGTATCTATGGATACGGA